TGGGGACGGCGCCTCTCCCTCGCTCCTGGACGCTGACTGGCTCAGGCGTCTAGGGGCGCTCGCCCTGAGCCGCGGCTCCCGGCCTGAATGGCCCGCAGGATGTTTGTTCACTGCAAACAGAGAGAAAGAGCTCCTCACCGGGCGCCTGGCAGCAGGGCTGGTTGCTTGGCGCCCAGGTGATCTGTCTGTGCTGACAGGGCTTGAGGCCCGTCCTGTGCAGAGCCGCCCAGCAGAGCGCGAGGCTGGAGGAGGTAATGTGGCCTGTTGGGAGCTGGGGGCTGGGCCCCGAGGAGGCCCCAAAGAGCCTGGGCAAGCAGGGCTTCCGTCCAGGCCCCGCCCCCCTGCAGGGCCCACCTCCCATGGTGTGGTAGGAGCTGGGCTCCCCCAGGTTCTCCAGAACGGACACCAGGAAGGTAGCTTGCTCACCCCTGAAAGAGCATTCTCTGACCTGGGGTGTTATTAGTTGGGGTGCTCCAGAGAAAACAGAATAGGGAGAACACATACATATGATGTTCATTATACCACACATAGAATTCTTGGATAGATAGAAAGGTCTGTATCTTCCCTCTTAGTTTTCATATGTAATAGATTCACCTTGTTCATGGATGTGTTGTATGTGGTTTTGACAGCATAGTCAAAAAATAAGTTTAAAAAGTTAAAAAATAGCTGGGCGCTGGTGGCTCACGCCTGTTATCCTAGCTACTCAAGAGGCTGAGACCTGAGGATCATGGTTCAAAGCCAGCCCAGGCAGGAAAATCCTTGAGACTCTTATCTCCAAAAAAACTACCAGAAAACCGCAAGTGGCGCTGTGGCTCAAGTGGTAGAGCGCTAGCCTTGAGCTGAAGAGCTGAGCGACAGTGCCCAGGTCCAGAGTTCAAGCCCCACGACCGACAAAAACAAAAAAAACAAGTTAAAAATAAAAACTTCACGATGTATGCGTGCATCACACAGCTCTGTGGGTGTGAGAGGCATCTGTGTCTAGAGTTTCTTCTGAGGGTTCCTGCCCTTAATTTTTAGAAAACAGGATTCCCAACAGGAATCCTCAAGCCTCCTTCCACTGTGCTTAACTGAAGTGACAGAGGGAAGATTCTAGATTTGTTGAAGGGTGGCATGCTTTGAGCGGAAGTTGGGTGGTGTTACAAGAAAAATCAGTCAACCATCTGCACCACAGTACTGGGCACGCACAGCTTCCCTTCCCGGTGATCTCCTGGGAACCTTGTACCTGTGGATACCAAGGGTCTACAGCATACATATAGCACACATGCTATACACATGTACGACACACGTGAGTATGAGATCGTTCAACCACAGAGGCAGGGAAGCGCTGTCAGGCCTGCTCGGGAGGCCCGAGGCCGGTGCGGGGGACGTGTGTGCTGTACTTTCCGGTCTGGGCTGGATGAGCTGAGAAGCCGGAACAGGGGGTCTGAGGGCAGGAACAGCTGGCTGTCCAGCTGGGGAGAGGGGCAAACCTCTTGTTCTGATTAGATCCCTGAGGACTGGACGGCACACAGCCTCACCGGGGGGAGGGGGTGGGAAGGGGAGGAGGGGAGAGAGGGGGGCTTCCTAACCCAGTCTTGGTTTGTGGGAAGGCCCTTGCCCCGAGGGTAAAGCTAGGTTCAGAGCAGAAGTCTGAGTGGAGTGAGGAGAAAGCACAAAGGCCAGCCAGGCGCCCGATCCACACAGCAGCCGCCACCAGCCTCTGGCCCCTGTGATAAGATGGACAGAGCCACTGAGCGATGGGGCCCAGGCTGCACAGAGCCGGGACCTGCAGTCTGAGGGCTGGAAGGAAGATTGCACAGGCGTCATAGGAAGTCTTTCAGAGATGACCTCATTAACTGGAACTGTTCATTAAATAGACATTTTAGAGTCAGGCACCCATAGCACATACCTGTAATCCTAGCTGCTCAAGAGACAGACCTGAGGATCTTGACTTGAATCCAGCATGAGTAGACAAATCCAAGAGACCCTATCTCCAGTTAGTCAGCAAAAAACTAGAGGTGGAGCAATGGTTCAAGGGTAGAGCACTAGCTTTGAGCAAAAAAGTTAAACAAGCCAGGCACTGGTGGCTCATGCCTGTAATCTTAGCTACTCAGGAGGCTGAGATCTAAGGATCTCAGTATGAAGCCAGCCTGGGAAGAAAAGTCCTTGAGACTCTCAGAAAATGGCAGAAGTGGTGCTGTGGCTCAAGTGGTAGAGTGCTAGCTATGAGCAAAAGAAGCTCAGGGACAGCACCCAGGCCCCAAGGCATGCAAAAAAACAAATTTAAGCAAGAGCACAAGGCCCTGAGTTCAAGCTCCACTACCAATAGGTGCTCGGGTGTGTGTGTGTGTGCACACTGCACACATACACACACACCACACACACATATATACACACAAATACATTCTGATGTCCTTCATCAGATCTAGGGCCTGGATTATCTGAATTTCCTCAGGATACCTACTTTAGAAATTCCAGTGACTTAACATGTTACTGATAAATTTTAAAACTAAGTATTTTGGTAGGCTTTTTCTTCCCTTTTGGTTGGTCGTGGAGCTTGAACTCAGCTTGGGGGCTGTCCCTGAGCTTTCACTCAAAGATGGTGCTCTACCACTTTGAGCCACACTTCCACTTCTGGTTTGTGGGTGGCTAATTAGAGATAAGAGTTTCATAGACTTTCCTGCCTGCACTGGCTTCAAACCACTATCCTCAGATCTCAGCCTCCCAAGTAGCTAGGCTTATAGATGGGAGCCACTAGTATCCAGCTGTTAAGACTTTTTGCTTTTTTTTTTTTTTTGCCAGTCCTGGCCTGGGCACTGTCCCTGAGCTTCTTTTGCTCAAGGCTAGCTCTCTACCACTTGAACCACTTCCAGCTTTTTCTATGTGATACTGAGGAATTGAACCTGGGGCTTTATGAGTGCTAGGCAAGCACTCTGCCACTAAACCAGCTTCCCAGCGGTTAGGCTTTTAAAAAAGGAAAGCAGTAGGGTTTTCAGCATTGTTTATCTTCATCTTAAGTGGTTAACTTTTGGTAAGAACTGAAAGTCAGTAAGGAGTCCTTTGCTGATCAATTCCTTGACTCATTCTGGACATGTGTAGGGAAAAATTAACACGAGGAAGCAACCTAAACACATAATAAGAAACAAGGAGAAGGTGCTAATAAGGAGATGTGTTTTGCCTCTAATGGTTTAAAACCTCAAATTTTGCTTGGCTGGCCAGTGGCAGGGCGGCCGGCGGCTCGGTGAGGAATCCGGGCCATCCCGGCACTTGGGAGACGGAGGCCAGCCCGGGCGAGCAGCAAGACTGACTCAACACAGCAAAGAAGCCAGGCTGCTGAGTAACAGCGAGTGACGTATTACGAAAGAGACATATAAAATTTAATCCCTTTGGTTTAAAATACATCTTCAATGATACAATTAAAAACAAGCAAGACAAAAAAATCAATTTTGTAACACAACACATAAACTATTGTATATGACCCGTGTCCCATGATATCTGAGAAAATCAGCAATCTAGTTCACGTACTTCATTAGAGTATTTTCACCTAAGACTAAACTAGCAAGCCTGCTTAAACAGATGGCCTATTCTAGTTCCCTAAGCCTAAAGATACCCGTGATTTCATTTGTTATAGGATTTCTTTTATAAAATTACCATTAAGTATTTTCACATATTAAACATGTTTACAAAACATTCCCCTGCCACGGTGATATCACAAATTCATAAATGCTTTCTAGAGTGGTTAATGTACAAGAGTGGTGATCGAAGTTTGAAAGCTCTGACACTAGTGAAGCAGAGGAGAAGAACTCCACTGCGAGAGCTAGTGCCAGCGCCAGTGGGCATGGCGGCTGCTGCCCCCGCATGCACACGCGACTGCCACAGTCCTTTTTTATTTTGTGCCAGTCCTGAGGCTTGAACTCAGGGCCAGGGGCCATCTCTAAGATTTCATGCTCAAGGTTAGCACTCTACCACTTGTGTCACAGCTCTACTTCTGGCTTTTTGCTGGTTAACTGGACATAAGTGTCTCACAGACTTTCCTGCCCCAGCTAGCTTTGAATTGCGATCCTTAGATCTCAGTCTCCTGAGTTGTTAGGATTGGTTATAGGATTATATATTATAGGATTATACCAGCACCTGGCACATCCTTCTTTCCAACAGTGCAGACACACGACGACACTCAGCGGCAGATACCCTGTCATCTGAGGCCTTGTTAGGCTAGGGCACAGTCCTGCGTGGGAGAAAACACACCATTGTATCTGCTTGGGCTGCATTACCAGAAATAACTTAACTCTGTCTCTAGGGAAAGTCTTCCAGGGAAAGCTCACTGTGCGCCTCACTCTCTGTACACAGACACGGCAGTTATATATTATATATTTATATCAGACATGTATGTACACATTTACAGACACAGACCTTCAAAAAGATATTGCACTTATATACAATGCAGCTCTGTCTTATTTCACACTATACCCCATTTATGTTCTTCATAAGAAAGGCAGCTGATATGTCCAAGGAAGTTGCAAAGGAAGGTTCGGTAACATGTCATTTAGTAAACATTGTTGGATGAGATGGGAGGGGGGTTGGCCCCTGACCTGTCCTTAGGGACTGTGCCCACTTCCTGAGGCAAAGTTAAAGTGGGGTCTAAGAGCATAGAACCCCTAAAGCTACGCCTCTTGCCTTCCCCACTCCTACTATTAGAGAGCAGGTAGCCCGCCACGGTTTTGATAAATAACACAGCAGATAGCATCAAGATTCCCAGAGCCAGTTATGTCCTGAAATAAGAGTTTTCACCTTGCATTTCCTACATATATTAGAAATTCACACAAATTCATCTACGGATCTCTCTGTCATCTGAAAACCGCCCATGCAACACATTAACTGCAGCTCCATCCTCAAGGCAAAGGGAATTCTTTCCCCCGACATGCCAGGATCTGCAAGGGGGCGTGGGTGCCTCTGCTGGCCCAACGGCCGCCAGGTCTCGGGGACACCACTGGGCTCCCGTGGGGCTGCGGGCGGGCGCAGGCTCAGATCTCCGTCAGCGTGAGCTTGTACGAGCCCGCCGCCTCCTCGATCTGCAGCTGGAAGGTGTCCTCATTAGAGTAATGCTTCACAATGTTGTCATCCATGTTCACCAGGATCCTGGTAGGAGACACGGGGTGACAACAGAGTTACTGGCTGGGGCAGTACATTGGGGCTTTACATTACATTACACTGGGGCAGCGGAGACAAACCCGGTGCCTGGCTTCAAAGACAGATGACACTGGGGGAGGAGGGGACTGGTGACGGCTCCAGGGTGCACTCGGTGAGTGCAAAAGTCTGCCTTGTTTCTCCAGCATGGAGTAGCCATTTGATAAATGGTACCCAGTTTTAAAAAAACCAACTCCCAAACCTACAGAACGTTCAGGATGCAGCTTTCAAAAGCTTTATCGCTAATTCTCATTGCCAGATCCAAAGCCACAGCCCCTGACCTGTCTGAAGGCATCCTCGAAGCTGAAACAAGTAAGCCTTACCTGTCCTCTAGACACAGACATCCCACTGGGATCTGGCTGAGATTAAGCCAGAAAGTTCCTATGCTATATTCCCTGCTAATCCATGCCACATGGCACAGACACGCAAGACAGACCAGTGGAACAGAATAAATTCATTTCTGACAAAGAAGTAATGTTAGATAACTAGAAAACTAGCTCAGGGTAGCATGCTCAAGCAGAAAAGACCAAGGCTTGGAGCCAGGCGAAACTGCTCCGTGTCAGGGCTGCATTGTCAGCAAGCCAGGTGACCTCGGCGAGGCCCCTCGCGCTGCCCGGCGCCTCAGATCTCCCAAACGCAATGGGAAAATGCGATGAAGCGGCGGGTGGGGCGCTGCCCCTCGCAGCCTGCTCACACCTGGCACGGCGGGGTGGGCAGCAGCTTTTGATGCCCTTAGTGACTCTCCCCGTGCACCCAGCAACGGGAGCCTCTGCGCCGCAGCCAGGCCCGGGACAAGCAAATTCAGATTTGACTTGGAAACCAAACCAAACCAAACCCATCTGCCAAGATGAGCCTGGAAGGCAGACGAGGCTCAGGTGGAGAGGGTAAGAAGGAAAAGCGCACTGTGGCGGGGCGCCCCCCGCGGGCCCCGCCCCCCGCGGGCCACCCGCCGCGGCACAGGCTGCGTCCCCAGCACAGACGGCCACCGCTGCTGCTCACCCTTTTTTGCACTTCTTGAATATTTTCCCAATCTTGTCATGGGGCACATCGTATTTGTCTGAGATCTGAAAGAATGGAGAAAAATAATTACCAAGTGCTGTCTTCACGTTTAATCACATACACATACACACACGCACACACACACGCACCCCTCCCTCCTTCCCTCTTCCTTTTTACACACACACACACACACACACACGCACCCCTCCTTCCCTCCCTCCCTCTTCCTTTTTCTTTCTTTTGAGGCAGGATCTGACTGTAGCCAGGGTGGGCTCAAACTCATGATTGTCCTGCCTCAAGTCCCCTCATATACAAAGACGGGAAAGAGCCAGGCCATGTGGCGGCAGAGGAGGGATGCTATCACCACCTTTGAAGAGAGGTAAGCCTCATGCCTGAGAAAAATGTGCTGCCCAGCGCCAGTGGCTGACACTTGGCATCCTAGCTACGCAGGAGGCTGAGATCTGAGGATGACAGTTCAAGCCAGCCCCAGCAGGAAAGTCCGAGACTCTCATCTCCAGTTAACCACCAAAAAAGCTAGCTGTGGAGCTGTGGCCCACGTGGTAGCACTAGCCTTAAGCAAAAAAGCTCAGGGACAGTGCTCAGGCTCTGAGTTCAAACCCCAGGACCAGCATACACACATACATGTATGTACACACGGACCAGCATACACATACATGTATGTACACACGGACCAGCATACACACATACATGCATGTACACACACACATAAGCACATATACAATGTCTAGAACTAGGACAAGGTGAGTAGATTACCTGGTTATAGTTTTGTTATTTTTTAATTAATAGGCTCTGTCAATGGAGCTGTGGCTCAAGTGGAAGAGTGCTAGCCTTGAGTGAAAAAGCTCAGGGATAGTGTGCAGGCCCTGAGTTTAATCCCCAGGAGGGACACACACACACACACACACACACACACACACACACGCACACTCACACACGCACAGCTCTACCTTTCTAGTGAGGTTTTAGGTGTGTGGGAAGATGGGCAGATGAGACTTCTCGCGCACCGCCCTCCTCCCAGCATCGCTGCCTCAATGAATGCGTACCGCTGCACTTCCTCAAGCCCAGTTCACTCCCTGCGGTCTGACAAATGCATGGTGGCGCGCGCCACGCCATCACCAGCACCCTGGCCAAATGCGGAAAGGCCTCGCTCTAGAGGCGGGTGTGTATACATAAAATCAGCCCACAAAATCAGCAGGGGCTTTCAGACCCTGCCTGCCCTGATCAGGCAACAGAGCTCGCCTGGCGGGCTCAGGGCTGGCTGAAGAGGAAGCAGCAGCGACCACCACAAAGCAGGAGTCATGTATTCTCTTTTTTGAGCCAGTACTGGGGCTTGAACTCAGGGCCTGGGTGCTGGTCCCTTAACTAGTTTGCTTAAGGAGGGCGCTCTACGACCTGAGCTACAGCTCTGCCTCCAGCACTGTGGTGGTTAACACAGGGAAGAGTCGTGAACTTTCCTGCCCAGGCTGCCATTGAACTGCAGTCTTCACCTCTCAGCCTCCTGGGCACAGAGGTTTATAGGCCACCAGTGCCCGCTGACGTACGGATTTCCCTGCTGATTTTATTGTGTCTTGGCCCCGTGCCGCTCACTGGTGTCCTCCAGTGCCTACCATAGCACCTGCCGCGAGGCAGGCCCTGATCACGACTGTCTGGCAAGCTGGACACACAGCAGCCGTCAGGAGAGCGGGGGACACGCCACTGTGATCCCAAAGATTCCTACGGTCTGCAGGGGCCTGACGCTGGCAGATGTGACAAGGGCTGATGTCAGATTTTGGCAGGGCAAAGCCAGCACAGGAACTGGCACAGAGCGTGGCTCTGTGCCCATCGCCTGACACTGCCCGGGGGCACGAGGCTCAGCTGACTGCAGCCTCTGCCAGCCTCTGTGAGAAACTCACACCAACACTGATGACACGCGGCTTCTCAACTGCTCGGGCAAGGCCTCCACAGTGCCGCGAAGATCCGGCACAAAAGGCAGACTCATGGCCACCACTTTTTCTTTCTGTTTTTAGACAGGGTCTCGCTACGCGCTGCTGGCTGCCTGAACCAGACGCCTTCCTGCCTCAGTCTCCTTGTGACCACCAGCGTCACCACCACACCATGGGAGACCCTCCCTTCCCTTCCCTCCCCTTCCCTTCTCCTTCCTTCCTTCCTTCCTCCCTCCCTCCCTTCCCTTTCTTTCTTTCTTTTCTCTTTCTTTCTCTTTGTTGCTTGTGAGGCCTGAACTCTGGGCCTGGGCACTGTCCCTGAGCTCTTTAGCTCAAGGTTAGCGCTCTACCATTTGAGCCACAGCGCCACTTTGGGCTTTTTCTGCTTATGTGGTGCTGAGGAATGGAACCCAGGGCCTCGTGCATTCGAGGCAAGTGCTCTACCACTGAGCCACCTGCCCAACCTCCATCTTTTTTTTTTTTGAAAGGGAATGGCTGCATGTATCCTACTTACAGCCTCCATCAAGCCCTTCAAGGACGGGGTCTTGAGCATGAGGGCATCAAAGACTTCTTCTGACTCCTTCCGCACGTACAGCAACACTGGTTTCCGTCCAGAGCAAGAGGGTAGCCGGAGAACAAGACTACGTTAATTCACACAAGCATGGAGAAGCAGGCCGCACCCCGACCTCCGCCCCTCCGTGCTGGTTCAGGGCAGGATTCAGTGCGAGGCGCCATCTGTGCTCACTGTGGACTGAGAAGTCCCACTCGGTAATGGGGCCCAACATACCTCTCTTAGGTTCTTCTGCCCGGCCCAGCTTCGCGGGAGGGGGGACCGCGAAGTCATCTTCCGTTCCATACGGCCCCCTTTTCAAGGCAGACCTGTGGGTGACCGGATACAGTGTGTGACTTTCCAACGAAGAGTTGGAAATCTATCAGCGCTTTTATTTTTTTTTGGGGGGGGGGATCCAGTTGTGGGGCCTGAACTCTGGGCCTGGGTGCTGTCCCTCAGCTCTTCAGCTCAAGGCTAGCACTCTACCAGTTGAGCCACAGCGCCACTGCCAGCTTTTTTTTTCTCTGCTTATGTGGTGCTGAGGAATCGAACCCAGGGCCTCATGCATGTAAGGCAAGTGCTCTACCACTGAGCCACCTTCCCAGCCCCTCAGCGCTGACTTTTAAACTCAAAATGACTCTCGTTCTTTATCTGGCCCAGCTTCCTTATTGTTTTGCACAAACTCTGAGGTCCGGAGTAAGATGCTGACAGCGCCAGGGCGCGTGACGCTCCGTGGCAGGCCCGGGACCACTGACTGACCGACCTGCTCGCTTCCTCCATCCCGGCTTCACTAGACCCAGCTACCTGCTCAGGATGGGGCCTGCTCCCCAAGAGGAGAAGGGACTGGACAAACTTGCACGGCCTACCAAAGGAGGGTGCAAGCGTTTGTTCTGTTTCATTTATTCAGAGAGGGTCCTGTTACAGGAGCCTCTGTGGGTCTGGGACTTACTATACAGCTGAGGTTGGCCTCAAACTGACAAGCCTCCTGCCACAGCCTCTAAGCAAGCACTGCCACGCCCAGCTCGAGACAGTGTGAGTAGGCTAGCAGAACAGAACGAGAAAAGGAGAATTGGCAGTACTGTTTAGCTTTAAGGAATCACAGATTTTTATGCCTCGGGTAAGAAGGAATCTTTTTTTCTTTCCCTTTTTCTGTGTCAGTACTAGGGCTCGGTCTTAGAGTCTGGTTCTGAGCTTCTGTTACTCAAGCCTGGTTCTCTACCACTTGTGCCACAGCTCCATTTCTGGCTTTTTTGGGGTAGTTTATTGAAGATGAGCATCTCAGGACTTTCCTGCCAGGGCTAGTTTGAACCATGTCCATCTCAGCTTCCTGAATGGGTGGGATTACAGGCATGAGCCACTGAGGCCCAAGAGGGAATCTTTGCAACTTATGTGAGATGGAACACTACGGTCAAAGCATGTTGGTTGGGGCTGGAAATGTGGCTCAGTGGCAGAGTGTGTGCCTAGTGGTGTGAAGCCCTGGGTTCCATTCTTCAGTATCACATTAACAGAAAAAGCTGGAAGTTGCGCTGTGGCTCAAGTGGTAGAGTGCTAGCCTTGAGCTGAAGAGCTAAGGGACAGTGCCCAGGCCCTGAGTTCAAGCCCTAGGACTGGAAAAAAAAAAGTGTTGGTTCACAGTTCAGGTTTCTCCAGGCTGGCGGGATGATCGTGAGAGGACTGAGATGAGCATCAGAGCGTAGCTTCAAAGGGTTTAGCATACTTCCAGTCCATGGAAAGAAAAGAGTAGTGCACACAGAGTGTGAGGAAGGGAGCCCAGATCTGCGTGACTCCACGGGCCTGTGCTCACCGAGGTGTGCAAGAAAAGAGTCAAATAACTAAAAATGGAGAAAGGCATTTGAGACCACCTCAGCAATAGAGTTTAAGGCCTTCAAATGCCTGTGCGGCTCAGCTCCTAATATACAACAGGTATTCTATTCAGTGAAAGCGCCGGAGGGAGGCCCCAAGGCTAAACCACTGAGGGTGGGAGGTGGTGAAGGACGGAGGGGCTAAGCTGAGGAATGAACATGGAAGCAACACCTAGGCTCTCTTTCCCGTCATGCACTGGCTTTTGTTTTTCTCTCATCATGCATTGTTCTAGATCAAGAGAAAGGGAGATTTCAGCCCCAAAGCAGAACTTCCCACTTCTTGAAAATTTTAGTCCTAAAGCTGTCAGAAGGGACAAGAAGGCTGGAGGGTCGCCTGGCAGAGAGGGGTCGAGCAGCCCCTCAGTGTGCAGGCATCTGCAAAGCGGCTGCCAGGTACGGGGATGGGAAAGTGGGCCCAGGACCAGGGGCACACCAGAGGCCCATCCTGGACTCCAGACTCCACAGAGGGAAGCAGGCTATCTTGCAGAAAAGGCTGGGTCTGAGCTAGAGAGGGAAACACCAGTGTCTGGCAGGGCACAGGACAGCGGTCCAGGAAGGAGGGCCAGGCCGGAAAGAGCCTGGGACAGCTGCAAAGGCTCCCCCTGGCCAGCTCTGGGGCAATGTGTCCAAGGGAAGGGCAGCAGTGGCTCACGCCTTCACAAACCAACTAGTGAACAAATGGAAAGTTTAATGGAGAATGAGACTGAGCTGAGAACCAAGGGAGGAAGGACAGTCCTGCCAGGGTGTCAGGCCGATGCTGACCATGAGGCCAAAACGAAGACGGCCACCATAGGCAAAGGCAGGGAAGGCCAAGACTGTTCCAGACCAAAGGCGAGTAAAGAACCATGACAGCAAGTACACTATGTGGTTCTGGGCTGGAACAAAGCTGGGCTCTGCGTGGACACCGCATGGTAGCAATGGCGCCCCCTGGTGGCCCGCTGTGGATGGCCCTGCTGATGGGGGGAGGGGGGTGCGCCCAGCATGCTCAGGAACCATGGCACTGAAATCCCTTAGGAGAAAAGGGACTTTCTTGTACTGTATCTGCAATTTTTTTTGCTACGTTTGAGATTACTTCAAAATAAAAATGTTCATAAAAGACAAACAACATAAAATCTTACCCTTCGCCCTCCAATTCTTCTGAAGCAATAGAAAGAACCTAAGGGAAAAAATAAAACCACAGATTGCTTTTCACATAGGCTCAAAATAAATCAGAATGTAATTTATTCTGAAATTAGGAATCATTCTCAATTTGATGCATCTAACATCAACTGCTTTTTTAAAAAATGCAAATTCCTGTAGTCTTATTTTTTAATATCTAGAATTTTATACTAGCTTGAACTTCTCTAAAATAGCCAAATCTAGTTGAAGCCTGCTCTGTAAATAAAGCATTTAGAGGAACAGGGCCAGATGCGTTCACTTAGGTATTGTGTGCAGCCGCTTTGGCACCAGAATGGCACAACAGAGATTCCATGGTCCAAAGCCCGAAGTGTTTACTACTACTCGGTCCTTTCCCAAAAGTCCACTGAGGCTCGCTTGCCTTCCACAAGCTCTTCCCTGACTACCGTGCCTTGGCTAAGTACTCCTTCCACATCTGGCTGCTGGGTCCCTGGCCCAAGCCCTTCTGTTTATCTGGCTCAGCAAGTCCCACTTGACTGAGCGCCTGTCTCTGGTAAGCTTTTACCACAAAGCAGACTGTGACTTAAAAACAAACCAACAAAATTAGCATTAGTAACTAAGATGCTGATGATAATTCAGCACTGGAACCATGAGAAAAAACCTTGGGATGTTATTTTTTAAAATTCATATAATTTACTTTTCTTAAAAAAACACATGTTCCAGTTTCCTGGTATTAATTTTGTCAGACCATAAGTTAGTTGTTTATAGGAGCACAACACTGGAGATTCTTGTTGTTGTTTTTTTTTGGGTCTGGTCATGGGGCCTGAACTCTGGGCCTGGGCACTGTCCCTCAGCTCTTCAGCTCAATGCTAGCGCTCTACCACTTGAGCCACGGCGCCACTTCTGGCTTTTTTCTTTTTGCTTATGTGGTGCTGAGGAATTGAACCCAAGGCCTCTGGCATGCAAAGCATGCGCTCTACCACTGAGCCACCTTCCCAGCCCTGGAGATTCTTTATAGGGCTATCCGACACAGGTTATCACTCAAGTTAAACTCCCAAGAGCACAGACTCAAATTCCAAACTGCTGTGCTATTCTAGAAGCCTTTAAATGAGCTAAGACATGATTGAATCAATGAGTGGATGAATGAATGAAAGAAAACTGATAGAATTATGCTGACAGTCTGCATTTTCAAGTCAATGCCTAATATGTATGGCGTGGGAGTCATGTCACCATAACTGAATGTTCCAGAGATCCAGCCAACTGGTCAACCTCACTGAAGGTGGCTCCTAGGTGCCATGAATAATGCTAGAGAACGTCTGAGCTGGGCCCTGCAGCCCCCCCACCCCCGCCGGCTACCTACATGGGCGCCCCGCTGCAGGCTGGCAAAGTGCACGTCAGGAATGAAGAGCACAGGCTGTGTGTCGAGGTCGAGGAAGGGCTTGAACACCGTGATGTCCATTCGTTTGTGTGAGGGAAGCAGCGGCACTTTGACATCAGAAACTAGAAAAAAATGAAGATGCCAACATCAGCAGATTCTATCTATAAGGCTGGAAACAGGCACAACATTTCCTTCAAAGTTGAAGAAATTGAGGATGGCACTCTAAGGCTCAGGTTATGGGGCTGCACCAAAAGAAAAAGCAGAGTTCACGTTGAGGGATTTGCTGCGTGCACTCAGAATAAAATCAAATGAACACCTGTCAAGACCAATAGTCAGAGGTATTTACACACACACACACACACACACACACACAGATATAGAACATTTAGTTTTCATGTAGAAGGCGAAAACTTGTCATGATATGAATACAATCTGGAAGCAATCCCACCTTAGCCTCCATTTGTCTTCAGAATGAATCAAGAGTCTCCATGCTGAGCTTAAGAGTACAAGTCTAAATCCCAACTACTGAAGTTCAAGACCAGCCGGGACAGGAGGAGTTAGGAGACTCTATCTCAAAAGATAAAGTGGGATGTGACAGAGCGTGCCTGCCATCCCAGCCACGCAGGAGGCGTAGGTGGGAGAACTGTGGAATGAAGACTGGAACAAAGAGATACTACTGCTGGGTGCTGGTAGCTCGCGCCTGTAAGGTAGCCAAGATCTGAGGCTCACAGTTTGAAGCCAGCCAGGGCAAGAAAGTCCTTGAGACTCTCATCTCCAATTAACCACAAATAGGTCAGAAGTGGAAACACCCACAGTTCAAGCCCCAAGACTGGCACCTTCTCTCCTCCCCCGAAAATGAGACACTATTAAAATAAAGAAACAGTGTCTGGAGTGCTACTGTCTTTTCCTAGCAAGTGCAAAGCCCTGAGTTCAAACCTCAGATGACCAAAAATGAGAAGGAAGAGTAAGCATACTAGTGTTTAATTTATTAAGCTTGGGGTCCCTCTCCCCATCATCTGGCCTTGATGCACTCAGCAGGGGGTTTAGCAAGCAGCATTCTGATGCCAAGGGGAGAATCCTGACCCATGTGCTGTGGACCCAACAGTTCATAGAACATGCCAGAAGCACCGGACCACAGACGAGACACTACAACACTTTTCTCCCTGGTAGACCTTCAGATACCGAGTTTTGTGAATATGAATACTGGTCACATTTTCTTAAAAAGGACAAAACTGGGTATAGTGGTGAATATCTGTAATATCTGCAAGATACAGGAGGATCACAAGTTCAAGACCAGCCTGGGTTGCATAGCAAGACAAGATGGGGAGGGGGGAGAGGGAGAGTAAGAGACAGAGAGACAGAGACAGACAGATACCCTCACATACTCTTGGAGAAATGCCAAAGCAGAAGCCTCAAGGATTCTGGGAACGACCCTCATCTACAATGAAGACATCCTGAATTTTCAGGGCATTGTCATTAGTTCTATAAATTGAGCCAGACCAGACTGGGAAGCTCAGGGAGCATGCATCTGTTTTCAGGACTGGAAGCAGCCACCTGAACTGACCATCCACAATGCCTGCACACGGGAAAACCCAAGACCAGTCTGCAGTTCGGCAGGCAACCCTTGAGACTCAGCCCCGCCCCTTCTGTCACAGCCCCGCCCTCACCCCACCCCACCCCACCCCCAGCCTCTGCTGGGCACAGAGGCACACAGCACCCTGGATTGGCTGAGGCTGGCCGGACATGCTACTTACAGGCATTCACCCGGGAGCTGGGGTCAGGACACTTGCCTTTTCTTTTACTTTGCTTTCGTTCTTCATCCCTGATTTTCCGTTCGGCTCCCTGCGGGAATAGGAGACAAGACAAGAGTCTAGTGGGTCTGACCTTCTTTCCAACAGTCAACTCTTGTCCACTTCTTCTCTGGAAGTGAACTTCTTACTAAATTAGTTGTCTATCCTAGTGCTTTGCTCTTAAAAGCCTATTATACAGGGGCTGGGAAGGTGGCTCAGTGGTAGAGCGCTTGCCTCACATGCATGAGGCTCTGGGTTCAATTCCTCAGCACCACATAAACAGAAAAAGCCCGAAGTGGTGCTGTGGCTCAAGTGGTAGAGCACTCGCCTTGAGCTGAAGTGCTGAGGAACAGCATCTAGGCCTAGAGTTCAAGCCCTACCACTGACAAAAAAAAAAAAGCCTATTATGCAAATATTACTATTATTATTTTGTCCGAGACTGGGACTCAGACGGTATCTGAGGCTTTCACTCATTAGTTGGTGCTTTATCATCTGAGCCATACCTCCAATTATTATTATTATTATTTGCCAGGCCTGGGGCTTGGACTCAGGGCCTGGGCACTGTCCTTAAGCTTCATTTGCTCAAGGCTAGCACTCTACCACCTGAGCCACAGCACCATCTCTGGCTTTTTCTGTGTATGTGGTACTGTGGAATCAAACCCAGGGCTTCATGCATGCAAGGCAAGTATTCTACCACTGAGCTATGTTTCCAGCCCCACAAATTATTTTTTATTTATTTATTTTTTGCCCGTTGTGAGGCCTGAATTCTGGGCCTGGGCACTGTCCCTCAGCTCTTCAGCTCAAGGTTAGTGCTCTACACTTGAGCCACAGGTGCCACTTCTGACTTTTTCTGTTTATGTGGTGCTGAGGAATCGAACCCAGGGCTTCATGCATGCAAGGCAAGCACTCTACCACTGAGCCACCTTCCCAGCCCCACAAATTATTTTTTTAAATTAATTTACTTCGTTGTTATTGTTATTATAGAGATGTTGTACAGAAGAAGTACAATTATATGAATCAGGTAATGAGTACATTTCCTTCCATACAGTGTCTTTTGTTCCTTTTTTTTTTCTGGCTGTGGCCCTTGAACTCTGGGCCTGGGTGCTGTCCCTCAGCTCTTCAGCTCAAGGCGAGTGCTCTACCACTTGAGCCACAATGCCACTTCTGGTTTTCCAGTGTTCTATTAGAGATAAGAGTCTCACGGGCTTTCCTGTCCGGGATGGCTTTGAACCTCGATCCTCAGATTTACCTACCTGAGTAGCTAGGATTACAGGCGTCAGCCACCGTGCCCAGCTTGTTCTTTTATTCTCACTCCACGAATTATTATTATTATTATTTTTTTTTTTGTTGGCCATGAGGCTTGAACTCTGGGCCTGGCACTGTCCCTGAACTCTTCAGCTCAAGGCTAGCGCTCTACCACTTGAACCACAGTGCCACTTCCAGTTTTCTAGTGGTTAACTGGAGATAAGAGTGTCATGGACTTTCCTGCCCAGGATGGCTTTGAACTATAATCCTCAGATCTCAGCCTCCTGAGTAGCTAGGATTACAGGCATGAGTCACTGGTACCCGGCTCGCCACAAATTATTTTTAACTGTATGGAATAAATCACAGATACATTTATTTATTTGTCGGTCATGGGGCTTGAACTCAGAGCTTGGACACTGCCCTAAGCTCTTTTTCCTCAAAGCTAATACTTTATCACTTTGAGCTATAACACCACTTCTGGTTTTTCTGGTGGTTAATTGGAGATAGAGTCTTATGGATTTTTCCTGCCCAGGCTGGCTGTGAACCATGATCTTCAAATCTCAGCCCCCTGAGTAGCTAGGATGACAGGTGTGAGCCTCCAGTGCCTGGCTTAAGGATCACTTTTAAAAATTAGAACACCTAGCTGGATACCGGTGGCTCACCCCGTAATCCTAGCACCTCAGGAGGCTGAGATCTGAGGATCATGGTTGGAAACCAGCCTAGGCAGGAACGTCAGTGAGACGCTTATCTCCAATAAACTACCAAATAAAGGCTGGAAGTGGGGCCGTGGCTCCAGTGGTAGAGCACTAGCCTTGAGCAGAAGCAGCTCAGGAATAGTGCTTAAGATGCAGAATTCAAACCTAGAACCAGCAAAACAAAACAAACAAAACAAAAAATCAGAATAGCTGCCTGCTCTAGGTGCTAACCCGCTAGCTCGTCTGTGAAAACCGCCACGCAGGACTGCCGCACGCTGACCCAGGAAGACTGGGAGGGCCGCCATTCCCCGACTACTGAACAGCCTCTATCTCTTAGTCCTTTCTCATTGGCTATCAGTTACTTCATTTTGATGACAAACTGTACCCCTCAAATAGGCAGTGTGACAAAATAAGACATTCCTTCCTTATTGAAAAAGCATGCCTGCAGTCCTAGTTACTCAGGAGGCCGAGATCTGAGGATTGTGGTTCAAAGCCAGCCCAGACAGGAAAGTCTGAGAGACTCTCATGTCCACTAAATTACCAAAAAAGCTGAAAGTTAGAGCTGTGGCTTAAGTGGAAGAAGCCTTGGGCAAAGGAAGCTCACGGACAGAGCCCAGGCCCCGAGTTCAAGCCCTATGACCAGCAAACACAGACACAGACAGACAGACAGACACACATACACACAAAATAAAAGGAACTTCTGTTTCTACTCAAGATGGAGCTTTTGACTCTATCCTGAAAACAACCCAAACTGGAAAAATGCTTAAATGAAGTACTTTTTTTTTTTTTTTGGTCAGTCACGGGGCTTGAACTCTGGGCCTGGGCGCTGTCCCTCAGCTCTTCAGCTCAAGGCGAGCGCTCGACTACTTGAGCCACAGTGCCACTTCCGGTTTTCTGCTGGTTTATTGGAGATAAGAGTTTCATGGACTTTCCTGCCGGGGCTGGCTTTGAACCATGATCCTCAGATCTCAGCCTTCTGAGTAGCTAGGATTACAGGCATGAGCCACCAGTGCTGAGCTTTAGATATGGTATTCTGAAGGCCTGAAGGGCCCAGCTCTGGGTGAGCTGGTTCGGCTGCGCTGCTCACTGCTCCCAGAGCCGTCCAGGCTGTGGTTGGGAGGGGAGCAGGTGCTCACTGCAGCGAGGAGGGAAAGCGGATCCGCCACGGGGCCCATCTCTAGACATCTTCAAAGGATTCTCGACTGTCCCCAAGTGGACAATTCACGGGAATTACCCATGGCTGGGGAAAAACCATTTGCAACGATGAGAGACCCAGTGGCTGAGTCTCAGATGGGGAGAAAATGGTGCGATCACACGGGAAGCTCCCAGGGCTCACCGAGGACAGACGTGAGCACCCAGGAAAGCCTGGCTCACAATGCTCGCATGCTCGCAAGTCATGAAACCAGGTGCCCAAGGATGCTGCTTGTCCCCAGGCGCTTACTTTGGTCTCAGGACAAGGCTGAAGACAAGAAACATCCAGTCCCAAAGAGGTAAACTGACAAGGCCACATGTCCAGTGAATGGCCAGGTGGGCAAAAGGCAGGACAACCTGCCTGAGGGAGAGGGGACAATCAAGCCCCTGTTGCTGATCCAGAACTGACACAGAGATGTCAGGCAAGGACATTAAGCCAGTCAGTGGGGCTGTACCATGCATGTTCAAAAACTGCCGGAAACCCCCACCAACCTGGGCTGCGAGGGTGGCTTAGTGGTAGAGAGATTGTCTAGTGTGTACCAGGCCCCGAGTTCACTCCCCAGCACTACAAAAGAGTAAACAGAGACACGAACAATATAAAACAGACCCTGCTTGAACTTCCACAGATGAAAACTACCATGTCTGAGATGAAAAGTTACACTGCATAGGAATAGCAGTTTAGATCGGGCAAAGGATCAGTGAAGTATCTAGATGTTGGTGGCTCATGCCTGTAATCCTAACTATACAGGAGGCTCAGATCTGAGAATCACAGTACAAAGCTAGCCCTGGTAGACAAACTCCATAGACTCTTCTTTTTTGGTTGGTCGTGGGGCTTGAACTCTGGGCTTGGGCACTGTCCCTGTGCTCTTCAGTTCAAGGCTAGCACTCTATTGCTTGAGCCACAGCACCACTTCCGGTTTTCCAGTGGTTTATTGGAGATAAGTCTCACAGACTTTCCTGTCCGGGCTGGCTTTGAACCGCAATCCTCAGATCTCAGCCTCCTGAGTAGCTAGGATGACAGGCGTGAGCCACCAGCGCCCGGCTTCCATAGACTCTTATATCCCATTAACCACTACAAAGCTGGAAGAGGAGCTGTGGCAGAGTGCTAGCCTTGGGCGAAAAAGCCAAGTAAGAACATTAGGCACTGAGTTCAAGACCTACTACTTTTCTCTCTTACATACACACACTCACACTCACTCAATGAACTCTGGGATATAGCAGTAGAAACTACCCCTAATTAAAGTAACATTAAAAAAAGAGAGAGAGAGAAAAAAAACCAGTGGGCTCTAGATAACTTCAAGTACCTTAGAGATGTATAACTGGAAAGCCAAAAGAAGAAGAAAAGATACTGGAAATAATGAGTGGGTAAAAACATTTCCAAATACAGCAAAACCCAAAAACCCATAGATTCTCAAGCAACTCAACAAGCTCAGCAAACCCCAGGAACAAGAAACACAAGTAGACGGATCAAAGTGCTCAAAACCAGTGTGAAGAGAAAATCTTAAACACAGTTATGGAAAAGAGGAACTAACTATGTACAGAATAGAGCCACACGACTTTGTTCGGTAATCACACTCTCAGCAGAAGCGGGGCTCTGAAGTTTGCTGCCAACTATTGTAAAATAATCCCTGTGGAATTTTATACCCAGCAGTAGGATCTTTTAAAACAGAAAGTGAAATAAGCACCCTTCAGACACACACAAAAGTGGAACAAATTCAGTCCCAGTAGGCACAAGAATTGTTAAAGGAGCCGGGCACCGGTGGCTCATGCCTGTAATCCTAGCTACTCAGGAGGCTGAGATCTGAGGATCACGGTTCAAAGCCAGCCTGGGCAAGAATGTCCATGAGATTCTTATCTCCAATAAACCACCAGAAAACCAGAAGTGGCACTGTGGCTCAAGTGGTAGAGCGCTAGCCTTGAG